GTTGTTTATGTAGATCTCAGCCATTTCTCCATCATTGGGTGATCCTCTTGTCTTTCTCGGGGTCCTGTTTTCCAGGTAGCCTCACTGGTGATGTGAGTAGCAGTCCAGTCATCCTTGTTCCACATCTAGTATCCTCCTATGAGTGAGTACATACCATATTTGTCTTTCTGAGACTGGGTTACCTCACTCAGGACGATTTTTTCTAGATCCATCCATTTGCCTGCAAACCTCATGATGTCATTGTTTTTCTCTGCTGAGTAGTATTCCATTGTGTATATGTGCCACAATTTATTTATCCATTCTTCAGTTGAAGGGCATTATTTCTTAAAAAGGGAATCTTACTGATAATCACTTATTACTGTGAATGTAAATTACTGTAAAATAGTTTATAAATTAGATAAAATAAAAAAATTACTACACCGGTTAAAAAAAATAATAAACAACATATTAGTAATCCAATAAAGCATAAAGAGGTTTCATGATGTCTGTCAGTTTGTCTATCAATAGATCACTATTCGATATGGATAGGAAATACTACCTTATTTAACTCTCTGTAGTCCACAGCCATTCTCCATGAGCTATTCCAATTCTTAACCCTGGGGCCACTCATTTACCAACTCCTTAAAGGCTTGTAAAGGAATTATTTTTTTTTATCACTCTATAACTTAGGGTCAAGGCAGACCATGGATAGGATATTGCCTGCCTTACCCACTGTGGTAACAGGCTGTCTGGTTCTGACAGTCTCTAAAAGGCCATTAGCTGGTCCATCAGTTCCATCTGACTGTGAAAGGGCTCTGGGATATTTCCACCTCCAACAGACTAGAGCAATATACACAAAGTGCCCTAGGGAGAAAATATCTGCCCATCCCTTGGGCCAATGAACTTTTTCATCTCTATTGTTCTGCCAGTCACTTCTTTCACCCCTTTCATGGCTATTTTCAAAACCCTTGTCTTTTAAAAACCATCTATAGCTCTGTATCACAGCATTTGGCTTCCTGTTGATTGTTTTACCTAGGAGCTCTGGCTCTACACAAATCTTGCCACATTTGTTTTGAGTTGTTTAGAAATACCCTATCATCTGCTTTCCCTTTTATTTCTCTCCTGCAGAATGTTTGCACACTTTATAAATCCAATCCAATCCAGTCTACTAGATCCTCTTCCACCTCATAAAAACCATGTCTGTCTATACCACATACTCTAAACAGCTCTGGGACCATGTGGAACAGAGGGCTGAAAGACTGTAAGAACTAAAGACTGGAGAGGACCACAGTGAAACATGTCTTTTACACTCATGAACTCACAGCAGCTATGGTTGCCTTCACAAAATCAAGTCAGTCAACATTTTAACATGGAATGTTTCCTGGATGGCTGTATTGGGGGAGAGGGTGTTTGTGTTGGGGGCATTATTTTTGTTTGGTGTTGTTTGTTTGTTTTTTGTCACAAGTGAGAGTCATCTGGGTAACAGAATGTCAGTTGAGTAAATAAATGACTCCCTCGTATGGCCTGTAGGCAAGTCTGTGGTAAATTTTCTTGATTAATGATTGATGGGGGAGGGCGAGACCACTGAGGTTGGTGCCACCCTCAATAGGTGGTCCTGGGTAGTATATTTAAAAAAAAACACAACAAAACAAAACAAACAAACAAAAAAAAAACACACAAAGCAAGCGATAGGGAGCAAGCTAGTAAGCAATATTCATCCATGGCCTCTGCTTTGGTTCTTGCCTCTATGTTCCTGCCCTGCTTGGCTTCTTGCCCTCACTGATTTTGATAATGAACTATTAAATGGAACTGTGAGTAAAATAAACCCTTGCTTCTGGCCATGATGTTTCTTCACGGCCATAGTAACCCTAACTAAGATATTACCCTTCATAATGGACTGTCATTAGGATGTGTAAGTGAAGCAAATTGTTTCTTCCCCAGGTTGCTTTTGGTCATGATGTTTATCACAGCAATAAAGAAGCAAACTAAGACAGAATGGAAAAGGTTTAACAAGCTCTCACTCTTAACTGGGGAACTATGGGTAACAGATGGCCTCTGGGTGAGGGAGAGTCAGTTTTCTGTAAGGGTATGGGACCTAGTAGGTTGGTCATATTCTAATGGAGGGCCCCACACCCAGAGTATATGGAAGCCACAAATGCTTCTCAATGGACTATTTTTTAAAAGATACAAAGTTAGGGAAGTAGGATGGTAAGGGTGGGTATGGGGAGACTTAAGGAGGAAGGTAAATATAATCAAAATATATTGTATGAAATTCTCAAAGAATCAGAAAAAAAAATAGAAACATCATCTTCTATTGTAGAGCCAAAGAAAGCTACTAAATCCTGGCGTCAGACCTTAAGTCCCTGCTGAATCATCTTCTCTTAACTCTCCTCTGAGCACATTTCCCTTAGGCCCAGTGAGCTGGGCATCCAACACTGTCTGGAGGTATTACCAGTTCCCTCAATTGTGTTCATCCTCTGCCTGTTCTCCTTTAGTTGCTAATATTCATGGGGCCCTCATCCAGTGATAACTAAGTGACTCTAACAGCTTGTCTACTAGCTTGTCCATCAGGAACTGTGTTCTCTCATATTGCCTCTTCTTCATATTGTTTCTTCTGCTTTTAGGTATGGGTAGTCATAATACATAGTTTTTCTCTGTGAATGGCACTCAAATGAATATCATCTACTATCATGTCTCATGACTACATGAGCCAATCTGTGGGAGGCCCTGTGGTTTCCTGTTTAAAAGTCTTTCCCAATTCAAACATACAGAAGCAAAATATTTCCTGGTTATCATGGTTCCCTGACTGGGCCATTACTAGGGCTATCATTTCCTTGTTGAGTAGTGGATTCTTTTTCTTCTTCTGTGTTTGAACCTAAAGAATATATTCTACCATTTTTTCCTTGCTCTATTCTTCCATGATGTTTTATTCTTTCCATGGGCTCTAAGTTCTGGGATCCCAGAAAGGCCTCTTTAACGTGGATTTAATTTGTACTCTCTCACTTGTGACTCACCAAATGTAAAAAAGAGCAAGCCAACATCTCCCTCTCCTCTTTTCTCTACTTTCCTTGACAAATCAGAAGTATCTACACATTTTCTTCTTGCTGTATACTGCATTACATAAGCAAGTCCTAAGAGGACAGTACAGCCTCAGTTGCATGTCTATCCATAGCAAGGGCCACACACAACCTTAACCAAGCCTGTTTATAGTCCTACTCTATCCATGCTACTTTGAAGGATCACAATATAATCTTTAGTCCATCAGTCATTTCAAAAACAACTTCATTAATTAACAGTAGTCCCAGTTCCTCAGGAAGGCATGACATTCCATAGCAAATAGAAGGTGGCTACTCTGGAATTCTCCCAAAGAGCACTCCACTTCTCATACATCTCAGCCTTGGTTGCAGTTCTGTGTCTCATGACTGTAAGTAGGGAAAATCCACCATCCTATACCACATAACAGAGAAAGCTAGCCATATTGAGATTGTCCCTATGTATATTCTACCCTCATAAAAATCATCCAGTTTCCATAACACCTTTGGTTCTGTTGGCTAGTGTTTGTTCACTAATTGTGTTGCTTGACTTTTCTTGGAGATAAGTGAACAAATGTATATCTACATCAGATAAGGCATTGATGACAAGTATAAGAAACAATCCTACCCAATCTGGCTTGGTGAATCAACAAGTTTTATGACATTACTTATAAGAGCCTGATTGACTCAAAGACTTCTGCATCATTAAGATGCTCACTCAAACATGGGTGTTAAATCATGAAAGCTGTGGCTATTGAACTCCTTGTGCAGCTGGCAGCCCCACCAAAGAAAGTCCCTTATACAGCAAGAGTTTACTATGTATATAACCTTGGTCAGGCCCTCATGAGCTTATAACTTTCTTGCCCCTTGAGTTATGTGATTTCAGGAGCTCCCTGGGCATCCTACATTTTACTAGCTTTTTCTAGTCTTCTGAGGCTCTCTCCTATCTCCAGATTGAAATCTTTCAATTAATCCGAGTAACACGGTGATGCTGAAATCCACCAGGTTCTTATGGAATGATAAGAGAGTTTATGAGGAGAAGTATCTTTTGTTATTCTTTCTTCCCTGTATTTTGATTTTGAAAATAATTAGAGATCTGCAGTGGTCATCTTTTGACCAAAAGGAGACTAACTAAGGGACTAAGACAGATCCAAGGCCCCAAAAACATAGAACTATCTACTTCCAGTCTTTTCTTGGATAACAAATGAATGTTCCATGATTAAAGCCATAATTAATTGAGTTTTTCATTATTGTAGCAAAGTAAACATTAAGTGATACAACCACCTCACTAACATCATTTCTTCTTTGGCGGCTAGAAATACCAAGCCAAGACATCTAATTTTATGTTCAAGCTGTGAGTAACATTGTGAAAGACAAAGTCCTTTCTTGATTCTTATGAAGACATACAAGCAAATGGAGGCACAATATGAAAGGAGAAAGTATGAAGAGAAGAGAGACAAAGAGAGAGTCCACTTCCAAAAGAGAACGCCATGCTAGAAGAATATTAACATCCTGTACTCACATATCCCCCTACATCCTACGTGTTACTTGAGTGGAGAAATGGCCCTGCTACTAATACAATAAGCATTAGTGATGCTTCAAAACTATGACATCCCTCCTTTTGAAAAAAGGTAACCTGTTCTCATGCAGTAAGATCCAACATGGAAGAATAATACAGAAAATGATATATTTCACTTTAGGAAAAAATTCTACTACACACTTATTTTTAAAATTCACTATGGGGTCCCTCCAGGGTATTGGAAATCTGATTTTATTTACAAAATTTCCTTTCAATCTTATAATTCTAGATCCAAGACAAATTGCTGATATAGACTCCTTTACTTTATAGATAAAAGAAATGAGTCCCAGAAAGAAGATATATCCTCTATAGTAAAGCTGGACATGGCAGAATCTGAAAAATATGTGTTGTTTTGATCATAAAGAGACCACATTAAATTAGTCAAATATTAGGGCTAGAGGAAATCTTACCTACTAGATGATGATGGAAGTAGCAATAATAGATTTTATTGAGACTTCACCTTTGTTAGGATCTGGATTCTGGAATCTAGGAAGATGGTAAGAAACAATTCAGGCATGGCCTTTCCTTATGAAGCACACACTATGTTTTCACTTTACAAAGAAATAATTCAAGCCCAATGCATACTTTGACTATGACCAATGTGTCTACTGTCACAGAAGTAGGACCCACTTTCCAGCCCAAGCATTTCACTTTGCTATATCATCTCCTGAGGGCATAGGATGTACTCACTGAGGAAAAGAAGAAATATAGGCATGTCCCGCATAGTTTTCAATTCCAATAGTAATCAGGGGACTCAGCAATAGGACACCCACTCCACTGGGCCTGAACACTTTGAGATGAAGGTGTAGAGTAAGTGAACACTCTTGCCTTTATTCATATCTCAGTTCCTAGGCAGCCATATCAGACATAAAAGCCTTCTGACAATTCAATGGACAACTTCACTGACACTCCCAGACAGACAGCTTCTCTTTTCACCTTCAGTCACCCATCAGCAATGACTTTATCTTTCTTGGTATCTATTGAATACACACACCTATTTATGTACTTACTTTCAGACATGGAAGAGCCTATGAAAAGAGCTCAATCTTATTTATCGTTATAACTCAGCAACTAAACAGCACATGGCTCAGAGTAGATAGTCTACATTTGTGCAGTGAATGAGTGAGCAATGTTCTTGATTTCAGCTGCTGTACTTATATTGGCCACTAGGACAGAGCCAACCTGCTATTCAATCACCCTGTCTCCTACCAGCACTCCTCACTTGAAGACAGCCCAGAGGTGAAAAGATTAAGGTCGGAATATGTCTTAACAGAAATATTCACTGCCTGTCAACCTTTCTGCAGAATACAGCAATCTGTTTCTATTTCAGTATCTTGTGATTTTCTTTTAGTCTACAGCCGTAAAAGTGAGACATGTTAAATCTAAAAATCTAAAGAAATGTTCGATCTAACAGATTTCTTACCCACTCTTGCTAGTTTACATGAACTGATAGCATTTATGGTATAGAATATGCAGGCTATGATGCCAACATCATTTTCTCAGAGGTTACCCACTTGGCTCTGTTTCTGCTTGTTGCTCTAGCAGAGTGATTTTCTTGGGTAAAAAAATAGGATTTTTAATAAAATTATAACACTATACAAACTTGTTTAAAGAGAAAATAATTTTTATAAGTTCTGCTGACTGCCAGACTACAGAATACATTCCATTTCATTCTCAGTACCATGTCCCTTCCTGGTATAACTGTCTTATGCATTCCACTTTGGGTGCCACAGCCTTAGTGTAAACCTAGTGGCTTAATGATGCTAAATTCATGTTTGAGAAATATGAGAAAATAAATGTGTCTACTCATTTTTCACCTGTAAAAGATGGCAGCTACTAATACTTGCTGTCCTTGCCTTCAAATCAGTCTTTGCAGAGACTATTTATTGTATGGGAATCAGGGAACCAAGTATCTGATGCGCAATTCTCCTGGTTATAACTAACATATAATTTTTTCTAAAGATCCTACCTGTATGCAAAATAAGTATCTAAACCTTTGAGTGATAGAAAATTACACTTAATACAAATAGTTTTCAAAAACTTCAGCCCTTGGGAAAATATTTTAGAAAACAGTGGGGATAATTAGTGTAAGTAATGGTAGCTTTTGATAAACAAGCAGCAGGGATCCTACATGCCACAAAATGCAGGGCCATCTTCTCTAGTGAAAAACTGCCCATGTTATACAAGACTTTCAAATACCCTGCCCATTATTCAGCTATACGAAAAAGAAACCTATTTATATTTATCTATGACTAGAATCCAGTTCCATTTTCCATATGCACAACTTCATTTTATTTGCAAAGATTTTTATTTATTTATTTGTTTATTTATTTATTTTACATCCTGGCCACAGTTTGCCCTCCCTACTCTCCTCCTAGTCCCTCTCCCCTGTCCACACACCTCTGTTCTCACCGCGCCCCCCCCCCATCCACTCCTCCTCCATTTATATACAGAAAAGGGCAGGTCTCCCATGGATATCAACAAAACATGGCACAACAAGTTGCCATAAGACTAAGCACCTCCTCATGTGTTAAGTCTGGGCAAGGTGACTCAGTATGAAGAGTAGTGTCCCAAAGCCAGTAAAAGAGTCAGAGACAGCCCCTGCTCCCACAAGAGGAATCCCACAAGTCATTGGCTTGGTTTCCCATTCCACAAGCTACACAACTGTAACATACATGCAGAGTGCCTAAGTCAGTCACATGCAGGCTCCCTGGTTATTGGTTCAGTCTCTGTGAGCCCCTATGAGCCCGTTAGTTGATTTTGTGGGTTTTCTTATGCCGACCTTGACCCCTTTGACTCCTACAATCCTTTCTTCCCCTCCTCTGCATGATTCCCCAAACTTTACCTAATGTTTGGCTATGAGTCTGCATCTGTTTCCATCAGTTACTGGATGAAGCCTTTCTGATAACAACTGGGCTAGGCACCAATCTATAAGTACAGCAGAATATTGTTAGGCATCATTACATTGACATTTGGTTTCTCCATCCATGTTTGGTTCTATCCTGGGTCTCTGGGTCATCCAGCCTGTGGGTCCTGGACCTCCAGCTAGTGTCAGAGGTAGGCTTACTCTGCTGGCATGGGTTTTAGCCTAGACCAGTCATTGGTTGGCCACTCCATCTCTCAGCAACCCTTACCCCAGCACATCCCATTTGTCCAAACTACAGGTTGAAGGTTATATAGCTGGGTTGGTTTCCCACTCCCTCCATTTGAAGACTTGCCGGATCACAGGAGATGGCCCTCCTATATACAAATGATAAATGAGCTGAGAAAGAAATCAGGGAATCAGCACCTTTTACAATAGCCTCAAATCATACAGAACATCTTGGTGTAACTCTAACCAAGCAAGTGAAACATGTGTATGACAAGAATTTCAAGTTTTTGAGGAAAGAATTTGGAGACGATATCAGAAGATGAAAAGATCTCCCATGTTCATGGATCTGTGGGATTAACATAATAAAAATGCCCATCTTACCAAAAGCAATCTACAGATTCAATGAAATTCCTATCAAAATCACAGCACAATTCTTTACAGACCTTGAAAAACAAAATTCAACTTCATATGGAAAAACAAAAATCCCAAGGTAACCAAAACAATCCTGTACAATAAAAGTACTTCCAGAGGTATCACCATCCCTAATTTCAAGGTCTACTATAGAGCTGTAGTAATAAAGACCACATGATATTGGCATAAAAACAGACAGAAGAATCAATGGAATTGAATCAAAGACCCAGATGTAAATCCACACACCTATGGACACCTGATTTTCAACAAAGGAGCCAAAATTATGAATAGAAAAAAATAAAGTGTCTTCAACAAATGGTGTTGGTATAACTGAATATCTACATGTAGAAGAATACAAATAGATCCATATCTATCACTCTGCACAAAACTCAATTCCAAGTGGATAAAAGACCACTGAACCTGACAGAAGAGAAAGTGGGAAATAGCCTTGAATGCATTGGCACAGGAGACAACTTCCTAAACAAGACACCAATTGCCAAGTTTTAATATACAATGGATTTCCAGAAATTCAAATACCGCATAAACCACAAGTCTCCTGTAATTTTTAAATATAACTCTACTGGAAGTTGTTTGCCATTAAAAGAATTTACATGATGAAAGGTGACATTTGATATTGACACTTGCATGTGTACGATTCCTGGAGGTTTGGTGTGCATGCGTTATGTGAAGTGTTAGTCTGTTTCATAATATTGTCTACTGTGTGTGCCTGTGTTCAAACACATACTGCAGTATGCCTAATTTTACTATAATTTGCTTTCCTTTTAGACAATAGAATCCTTTACTTCATACTTACAATATTCTAGATGATTATTTAAAAGTGTGAGTCTATCCAGATTCTATAATCCATGAATTTCACTTCAGGAAGATAAAGGTATGTTGGAAAATACATACTGAGTTTCATTGCTTAAGAACAGCTATCTAATAGGAACCTATCATATACTGTGGACCTTGTAGTAATTGTTGGAAACATAAGATGAACAAGACAAAGGCCTTTCTTTATTGGATTTGGTGTCTAGTGAGGATGATTGACATGAATGTGTCAGCTCCATTAAGAAGCATTTGATTCCATATATGGTTACATCAGGAAAGGGACAGGCACAATGGAAGCGGATTAGGAAAGAGATTGTTCTGATTTGTAAGAGCAATGATTTCCCCAAGGAACTGACTATTTCAGCTGAGTCCTAAAAGATGAGACCAGCACTACCACCGCCAAGAAGAATATGAGTGGTTGGAGCAATTGAAGATGATAGGACAGCCTGTGATAACATCCTATGGTACTCATGAAACAGAGAAAGTTGCTGCAGTTGGAATGCAAAGAATTAGAGGCAGAAAGCATACCATGAGGTCAAAGAAACGTGAGTATCAAGTTAATGAGAGTCACTGAAGTCATTTTAAAGACTGGAGCAACTGAAAACCACAGGAACATTTGGAAAACCAGCAACCTAATAAGCTCTGTGTTCTAGAACAATCATTGTGAATGTAGAATGGAGGATGAATCAGAGGTAGGTAGAAAGGTATAACCTGTTAGTAGGACACTCAACATGAAGATAGGTGCTACCTTAAAAAATGGTTTGCAATAGAAAGAAAGAAAAAAAGCTTTGAATCCTATTCTGGAATCAATAAGATGGTGAGGCTGGTTAGAAGTGGAAGCAGGGCAAAGATAGCTGTCAGTGTTTCATGGTGAGTAAAGGGTCTCCATCAATGACAGGACAAGCACTGGAGCATGAGCCAGTTTTGCAGAGATAGCCATTGAGTCACAAAATATTATGTATTCATTACACTAATATTTTGGATGAAAAAGTAAAAAAGGGTCACATAAAGTCACAGTTAAGTATAATCCCCAGGCTAGTATTATGGCTCAGTCAGTAAAGGCACTTGCATCCAACCCTAATGACCTGAGTTCAATCCCCATGATCCATGTAGTAAAAGGGAGAACCAACTCCTGAAAATTGTCCTCTGACTCTCTGACCTCCACTTGCACACTTGACACATACACATATACACATAAATAATTTTTCAAAAAAAAATCACAATCATGTTAGTATTTCAGACCCTCTGATTAAAACTCAAAGTTTTTTTTTTTTAACCTGTACATTTGTTGTAAAATGTTTCCTCTCTTCCAGGAATTTACTAATACTGGTGATTTGGAATATAGGTATCAAAGATAAGTCTACTATTGACCAAGCCATACTCTAAATAACAAGTTTCTGAGACTAGTGATTACCTGATGCTCTGAGATCTCTGGAGGACAGGGAACACAACTGACTGGCTTCATTATGGAAGTCTTCAAGAAGCTGGTTCAGTGAGTAGTAAGAAAGATGACCAAACTGTTAGGAGAGTTAAGACAGGCAATGTAGATGGTGATTTCATGTGGGAACAAAGAACATTACTGGGAAGAAGTGGTTTAAGGAAGAATGGCGTCCCTAAACCTGGTAGGTGCACAATGATTGTCAAACAGATTCTGAATTTAGGGTCCTTTGCCACAAGTTGCAAACATCTTTAAAAGTGTGCATAAGCCTGTTGGAAATGCTTTAACAGAACATGGTTAATAATCAAATATTTCTAAATAATTTGTTTTGATCTTCTCCTCTCCATTTTCTGTGTCCTTTGTCATGGCGTCAGTACTTACATCCTAGCCTATTGTTGGTCCAGCCACCTGCTCCCAGTTGGGTATTCTTGTTCCTGTGAGTGTGTCTCTACAGCAGCCCAGCTCCATTTTACAGTTTAAATATTTGCTTTAGCTTCCGCTTTACAAAATCCTAGATATCCATTCTCCACCATTTATGTTCTCAGTGACTCATTTAAAATTTTGCCTAAATGGATAAATGAACATTGATGCTTCTCAGAAAATGGTGTAGTGTAGTGAGTACATTTGCACATTAGAGATTTTCTTTGTCTATAGACCCATCTTTTTCTAGATCTTGAAGCAATAACATTTAAATCTGCCCCCTTTAAATTGTCTATACAAGTTTTGATTTCTACCATTTTATGTACAGGAGTATAAGAAACTGCCTTAAAAGATGAGGGAAAAAATGGCTATTCTAGTTTTCATAGGAAAAATTCCAAACATAGTTTTATCCTTTGAAGACATATATAAAAAAGTTTCTTTTAATTTTGTGCTTTGTTTTCTGCCTTAAGGGTAACACAGGAAACTAGAAACATCACTCAGTTGGTTCAGAGTTTGCCACATAAACTTACAGATATGAGATTTGTGTATAACACATCTAACCTCAGCAATGGGAAGTAGGGGGAGTTGACAGAAACAGGAGGATATTCTGCCAAGCCAACTGGCAAGCTCCAAGTTCATTATGAGACTACATCTCAAAAAATAAAGGTAGACAGAAACCAAGGAAAATACTCAGAATTGATTTCTGGCCTAAACACACAAACACCCCACACAGGTGCATGCTCTCCTACATGTACACACATGTCATATTCAGGATTTCTATTGCCGTGATAAAACACCATGAGTAAAAGCAACCTGGGGAGGAAAGGGTTTATTTCATTTTACAGTTTGTAGTCTGTCATCAAGGAAGTCAGAGCAGGAGCTTAAGATAGGTACCTGGAGGCAGGAACTGAAACAGAAGCCAAAGAACACTGCTTACTGACTTGGTCTCCATGGCTTGCTCAGCCTGCTTTCTTATACAACCCAAGACCACCTGCGTAAGGGTGGTAGCACTCATCATGTGCTGGCCCCTCCCACATCAATAATTAATTTAAAAAATACCTCATAGACTTGCCTATATGCCCATCTTATGGGGCATTATCTCAATTAAAATGCCTTTTGACCATATTCTAGGTTTGTCTCATGAGCACATACACACACACACACACACACACACACACACACACACACACACACACAAACGAAGAGGAAGGGAGGGAGAGAGACAGAGAGAGAGAGAAAAGCTGCCCTCATTGAATCATAAAACCAAAGGCAATCAAGCAGTTCTTTCCTAGAATCTAGAGTTATAATATTGAGTTTCATTGCCTCTTGACCAATCATACATACAGCAATTTAAGAAATGAATTAAGTATGTATGCTCACATGACTTTGTTTAGAAACATCTTTCATTGTTATCAATGTTCTCATTAGACAATGATGTCTACCTATTGTTTTTCCACCTGTCAGGGGAAAAATACTTCCCACAGTATGAAATTACTAGAGTGTCCTGTTTTGTTTTATTGTCAGCTTGACATAAGCTAGAATTATTTGAGAAGAGGAACCATTATTAAGAAAATACCTCCACCAGATCACCTGTAGGCAAATATATGGCGTGAAGGCGTTGTGTTAATTAATGATTGATGTGGGAAGGCTCAGATCACTATGGGTGGTATCATCCCTGGGCTGATGGTCCTGGGTTCTATAAGAAAGCAAG